TTAAAGAGGACAGAGAGAAGATGAGAGATCCAGAGCCCTGCAGAATCAAACACACTGAAGATACTGAGGAACTAACAGGTTGGTGTTTATTCTTCATTCACGATGCTGAAGAACATTCATGTTAGAAAGCGTCTAGCACTTCATCACATTTAGATAAAGAGCTAAATTATGAAATGTGGTAGAGTTTTCAACAAATATTCAGTACGTTGGATACAACATGTGTTTTTTGTAATATATTTTTTTAAAGCAATAAGCAATAAACAGCTAATTATATCAAGTAAATGGACTTTCCAGAATGTCTGACAGGGTTGTTAGAATAACTTAAAGGGATAGTTCACCCAAAAATGAAAATTCTGTTATCATTTACTCACCCTCAGGTTGTTCCAAACCTGTATAAATCTCTTTGTTCTGCTGAACACAACGGAAGATATTTGGAAGAATGTCAGTAACCAAACAGATGTCGTCCCCCATTGACTACCATAGTATTTATTTTTCATACTACTTTGGAAGTAAATGGGTGTCGAGATCTGTTTGGTATGTGATATTTATTGTACTTTTGAACTGACTTGTTATCTTAAACGTACTTGAGTATTGAAAGTAAAAGTACAAGTAAATGCAAAATGGAAAAGAAGCAAATAAATAAATGTTCATACACAGCTTGAGTAGCAAGATTGAAACAACTGATTCATTCAGAAACAAAGCATTTGACTCTGTTAATGAGTGAATCACTGAATCATTTATTCAACCGATTCGTTCAAAAAGCTGATTCATTCAATAAGTAAACACCGTCCATTGCTCAGAGATGCAAAACTGATCTTTGTTTGAGCTGTGTGTGATTTGGTGATATAGCCTACTTGATAATGTCCGATCGCACATCATTACAACACTTGCCATATTATCACAGACGATGCTGTATCGCACGCCCCAGACTCGACTTGAGTGGAAAATGAATCATCCGCGGTTGTGCGCACACTTGTTTGCACGAGCAAAGGTGTTTTAGGAGTCTAGCGTGCAGACGGCAGACCACTGATTCGTCAAACCTGCTTCCCTTCAGTCCGTGTTCTTCTGACTTCTGACTATTTTGTAGTAAGTAACGAATATGCTTCGGGGAAATGTATCGGAGTAAAAGTATACATTTTAATTAGGAAATGTAGTGGAGTAAAAGTAAAAGTTGGCTGAAATATAAAAACTCAAGTAAAGTACAGATACTCCCAAAAAATACTTAAGCACTGTAACGAAGTATTATTACTTGGTTACATTACACCACAGATCTTTTAACCTGTTAACCCGCACCTAAGCCCCGGCGCACTGAACGCTCTTTGTTTGCACGTGTCAATGTTTACGAATAGATTAAATGAAAAGGGACAAAATGAATCTTGACAAACTATATATCATTCTAAATGTCTAAGCCTCAAGCATCGACGATAGATCGCTGTTTTTCAATGGAAAGCTTATAAGGAATGTATTTGCTAAATTTGTGTAAGCAGTACACATCAAAACATGCATAATCAAAACGCAGTGCGTACCAGATTAATCGTAATAACGAGTCACAAACACATCCACAGCTGTAAATCCCGGTTTAGTTAGAAAGGTAAGGATCCACTGAACGACATCCCATAGAGCACTTTTAGTCCAATGAAGCAATAATGTTGTAATATGGATGGTAATTCCTTTGTTTACGTCTCATTTCTTCGGGAAAGGTAATGTTTGTATCCGTTATGGAATAACTTGCGCTCAAAAAACTGCATCTTGGTAGTAAAAAACAGCATGGTTTTGTAGCACACAGTGTCACAAACAGAATGAGACCATCCACTAAAAAAAAGTCAAAGACACATGGAATATTGTTTATTTGAATTATCACGAATTCTCTCGTGATGGCTCGTGACATGTCATCTGATGGGGGCGTAACTTAGCGATCGGCTTTTTGCACAAATAATTATTTTTTTGTTTTGTGGGGAATGTGGCTGTATCTGCATGATTACCATCTTTATGAGCGCACATCAGCGTGTGATTACTGACTGTATGAGCAGCTATCAGTGTGAATGTGGTCTATATGAATAGAGTTTGATTATTGACTACATGGCCAGCCATCTGTATGATTACCATCTGTATGACCTGCCATCAGCGTGTGATTACTGACTGTATGAGCAGCTATCAGTGTGAATGCTGTATGTCTGGCAATCTCAGGATGTACTGTAATTGGCATACATAGTTAAAAAAAAAAAAAATTATTTATTTTTATTACTCAAATTATTCTTATTGTATTTTTCTAGTGCTGAAATAAATCACTTATACGATGTCTAAGATTCTGTCTATTGTTTTATAATTGAAAAACTATGCAGTGGAATGTTTAATGACTAAAATAGTTTGTAGAACCCTTCAATACATTTCGTAAATATTTTTCCAAAAAATATTTATCCCACCTAACATTAAAGTTTTTAAATATATTGAATAATAAGTTAGCAAACACTAAATTCTAAATTAAATATAGATGAATCCTTAAAGCTATAAGTTCTTTTTTCCTCTTTTTTTTCTTTGTCCTTTAATAAACATACATCGCAGCAGCTGGTTATTAGGTTATTTGGCTGCTATTACTTTAAGAGCTGCTGCTGCTGAACGTGACGCCGATCTGACACGCATCGTATTTTCTCTTAACTCTCTTTACCTTTTCTGACCCACTTCAGGACTTAAAGGGGTCATATGATGTTGCTAAAAATAACATTATTTTGTGTATTTGGTGTAATGAAATGTGTTTATGCGG